CATCCCAATTCATCCTCTCTCTGTGTTAAGAGACTCTCTTTCACATATATAGTCCCACCTTCCAATACTAATCTCCACCATACATCTCCATCCACTAACCCATCTCAATCAAGTATTATTCCATCTGAATGCTTGGAAGTCCCATCCACCTACCCTCAAGAGTCGAGACTGAGTAAGTTTAGGAACGAGGTATCTCCACCATGCACCAACCTTGCTATGGATCTACAGCATAACCACAAATCTCCTAAAGCACATGATCCTGCAATTATTGCATCCCCAAGACTCTGCTGCAGGCTAAGTGAACCATCATCATTATCTCCACCTGCAAAAGAAGTTGCAAGCAACAAATTGACAGTTAGAAGTTTGAAAAAGGCTGCAAGGGGTAGCAAAAGTCATAGCCCAGTGTTGATATCTTCAGAGCCTATAAAGGGCCACGGGTATCTTAGAGGTTCTTCTACCTCTAATCTTAAATGATTTCTTTTATAACTTGGAATGTGAGAGGGCTAAATCAACCCTCAAAAAAGGCAGAGGTAAAGAAACTTATCTCTGCAAATAACCTTGACCTTATATCCTTGGTAGAGACCAGAGTGTCTCATGACAATGTTGTAGCCATCCATCGCTTCATAGCTCCTCATTGGTCAATTGCCTACAATTACATCTTCTCCCATCTTAGGAGGATTTGGATTTTATGGAACCCAAATTCTATTGATCTCAACATCATCAACATCAACAAGCAAGCCATTCACTATTTTTTCTCCATTAATGACCATGATTTGTCATTTTTTTGCTCCTTTGTTTATGCCTTAAATCATGTAAATGAGAGAAAGACCCTCTGGAATGACATCACCAGCCACTCTATCTTGTTCTCCCACTCCCTTTGGATCATTATGGGAGACTTCAATGCAATTACTAGCTCAAATGAGAGGTTTGGTGGTTCACAGAAATGGAGCTCCTCAATGTCTAACTTAAGGGAATGCATTCAACAAGCTGAGCTTGAGGATTTGAAATACAATGGCATCTTGTACATTTGGAACAACAAAAGTTTGAGGGATACATGCATAGCCAGGAAGATTGATAGAGCATTGGTTAACTGCAAATGGAGTATGTCCTTCCCACTCTCAGAATGCAAGTTTTTAACCCCAGGTATCTCTGATCACAGCCCAATCTTGCTTTCTATGAACTTTAACTTTCAAAGGAAACGTATCCCATTCAGGTTCTTCAATGCCTGGAGCAACCATCCTTTTTTCTTCCACTATGTTCAGTGCACTTGGAGCTCCTATATCAAGGGCACATCTATGTTCTAGGTTGTCCAAAAATTAAAAAACCTCAAGGCCATCCTCAAATCAAATTGCATAAAAGAGTTTTCTGATGTTGACACAAGGCTGGATTCTATAAATTTGGAGTTGGACTCATGTCAATCTGATATTGACAATTGCCCAAATGACATTTCTCTAAGACAGTTAGAGAGGGCTTTCATTACTGAGTATTTGAGATTGGGGAAGTACTGGAGGACATGCTAAGACAGAAATCAAGGATGATTTGGCTGAAGTTAAGAGACTCCAACTCTTCTTACTTTCACAAATCCCTTGCCTCCAGAAATAACAGGAACAAAATTGTAAGTCTCACTAATGCAGCTGGAGAGGGCATTACTGATCCTGAAGCAATCAAGCAAGAAACTATTTTACACTTTCAGAGGCTGCTAGGATGTTCTTTCTCCCCTACCTATGGTTTATCTGATTTATCCCCATTCATTACCAAATCAGTGCCTTCCAACATGCACAGCCTTCTGGACTCCCCTCCCTCTCCCTCAGAAATCCAAAATTGCATGCTTTCACTCAATGGAGATAAAGCCCCAGGCCCAGATGGACGCAATGCATTCTTCTTCCAAAAATCATGGGACATTGTTGGAAGCTCAATCATTAAGGCCATATATGAAATTTTCAGAAATGGAAAGCTCCTTTCTGAGATTAACTGTACCTATTTTTCACTTGTACCAAAGTGCTCCAACCCCTCATCACTCAATGAGTATAGGCCAATATCATGTTGCAACACCATCTACAAGTGCATTGCAAAATTGTTGGCAACCAAGCTTCAACTTACCCTTCCCCATATCATTGACACAACCCAAACAACATTTGTCCAAGGTAGAAAGATTACTGATTCCATTCTCCTTGCACATGAGTTGTTGAGGGGTTATCATAGGGATATTGGTCCTCCTAGGTGTGCTGTCAAAATTGACCTAATGAAAGCTTTTGATTCTGTAAACTGGGACTTCATCTCCAATTGCCTAACCCTCTTCAATTTCCCTCAAAAGTTTATTTCTCTCATTTTGGCTTGTATCACATCTTCATCATTCACAATTGCTTTAAATGGAGAGTTCCAAGGGTTTTTTTTTAAAGGAAAGAGAGGATTGAGACAAGGGGATCCAATATCCCCTTTTTTGTTTGTCATTGTCATTGAAGCACTATCATCCATCATCAGCAACTATGTTGTTAGAGCCCTAAGATTCAAACATCATTGGAGATGTAAGGAGCAACGTATAACCCACCTATCATTTGATGATGACCTCCTTTTACTTTGCCATGGAGACATTGAATCCATTTCCATCCTGAAGTTAGCCTTAGACCTCTTTTGTTCAATGTCTGGACTAACAATTAGTATTTCAAAAAGCTCAATCTTTCTTGCAGGTATTCCTCCTTAGATGGAAGAAGCAATCATTGATTTGTTTGGCATTCAGAAGGGCTGTCTTCCCATAAGACATCTTGGGATTCCATTTATCACTTCAAACCTCAAGAGCTCAGACTGTAGGGTCCTCATTGAGAGAATTACTCAAAGAATTTCTCATTGGTCAGCTAGATCCCTTTCCTATGCAGGTCGGTTACAACTTGTTAAAGCAGTCCTAGTTTCCACTCAGCTCTACTGGTCTAGTGTTTTTATCCTTCCAAAGAGTGTCATCAAGGAGCTGAACAAGATATTTAGATCTTTCCTCTGGTCAGGACCAGAAATGAAAACCACAGGCTCAAAAGTAGCATGGCATAATGTTTGCAAGCCCAAATCTGAAGGTGGTCTGGGCATACCCAACCTTGAGGTTGCAATCAGAGCTGTTATTCTCAAATATCTTTCGGACCTTCAAATAGACAAGACAGACAAAATTTGGATAAATTGGTGCAAAATTTACCTTATCAAGAACAGGAGCCTCTGGAGCTTGAAAATCCCACAGCCTTGTTCGTGGAGCTGGCGTAAAATCCTTCAGTTGAGACATCCAGCCAGGCTTATCATCAAACATGTCATTGGCAATGGTATGGATACCAACTTCTGGTTAGACAATTGGACTCCAGTAGGGCCTCTTAGTCTTCGATTTCCATCCACCCTCCTCTAAAACTTGGGAACTGAAGATAATTTACCTGTGGGTAGATTAATAGTCAACAATTCATGGGCATTTCCCCCATCTCTTTCTAATGCAATCCCGGAACTTCTTGCTCTCCCTCAACCTTGCTCAGTTAGGAAAGATAAGCTTTTATGGTCAGCATCCCCTATTGGTACATTCAGCCTCAAACACACCATTCTCCATCTCGCAGGCAATAGGGATCAAGTTGCTTGGTTCAACCTTGTATGGTGCTCTCCCACAATCCCAAGGATGAAATTCAACATGTGGATGGCCGTACAAAGCAGATTTCCAACCTTTGACAACAGAGTAATGTCTCATCAAGAGAACATTTGCGCGTTTTGCAAAACTGAACCCGAATCCCACTCCCATCTCTTTTTCAGATGCGTCTTCACCTCTCCATTGTGGGAATTCATTCAAGATAGATGTAAATTTTACAAATCATTCTACTCTTGGGAGGATATGATTCTGTGGATTAGCCAGAGATGGAGGGGAAGCTCTCCGACCAACATGCTTCTGAAGATTTGTCTTTCAACTTTGGTTTATCATATTTGGGAAGAACGTAATAACCGAGTTCTCAAAGGGAAAGCAGCTTCACAAACTCTGGTGTTGGCCAAAGTGTGCAATACAATCACAAACCTTCTCCAGCTGCGCTGCCTTAAGGCTTGTGATACCTCCAGATTAATTTTGCAGGCTTGGAATTTATCGCCGGATTGCTGTCGCCCCCCTCTGAAACCGCCGAACTAGCTAGTGGATGGAGATTCACTTTGCCGATCTAGGGCTATGTCACCGGATTGAAAGCTTGACACCTTCTTTTAACGGATTTTCTTTTAGTCTATTAAACGTAGTTATTAGGCTTGTTTTTTTTTTGTTGGGCTTAGATGCTTTTGTTGTTGCCTCATTTGGGTCTGTCTGCCTTCACGGGCTGCTTTGGCCAAAGGCCTTTGTACATTTTACTCTTATTTTTATACATTGCTTAATCTTTAAAAAAAAAAAAAAAAAGTACTGGGCAAAAGAGCATTATGTTATTGGCCAATACTAATCAACTGTTTTACATTTTCCACGAAAATTGCTTATACGTCAAGCACAACATATATACAGATAACCTTCCGAAAAAGAAATGAAAGAATTTTCAGAGGTAAGAGATCATCTCAAAGAATGGTGCTTGCTCGAATCTCAACAACTATCACTGCAACGCTCAAATTGGGCTTCTTGCAAGACTGTGATGCTTCGAGGAAGATCCTCTCAGATTGGAATCTCTCCCCTGCTTGTTGTCGTCCTCCTCCGAGGCCGCCGGACTGATTATTTCTCCGATAATCATCATCTTCACTAGGGCTACTTACCGGATTGTTCCCTAATACCCTCAATTAACGGCCAAACAAGCCGCTAATTGCGGTTATTAGGTTGAAGCTGGGCCTCTCCCTTGTGCCAATTTATTTGGCTTTTGTTATCCTCTTTTGGTTGGGCCAGAAAGCCCTCTTTTGTAATTATCCCCTTTAATTAATAAATTTGCTTAATTTTTCAAAAAAAAAAAAAAAATAAAATAAAAAAATTCCGAAAAAGAAAAAGAAAAAGAAAAAATAAAAATAAAAATATATATATATATATACACACACAGACACATATATAGATACCAAAACTCTCTCACAGAAGTAAAGAGCAAAGTGTTCCTTCTACCCTTCAAATCCGTCACACAATCACAAGATTTTTGGTTCCCAATGGCTTCCACGAGCACACACACAGTGTCTTCCTCCTCAAACCCTAACCCTAAATGGAATTACGATGTATTCTTGAGCTTCAGAGGTGAAGACACACGCAAGAACTTTGTAGATCATCTGTTCGCTGCTTTGTCTCAGAAAGGAATCTACACCTTCAAAGACGACGAGCAACTCAAAAGAGGAGAAGAAATTTCACCAGCACTACTGAAAGCGATCGAAGAATCTAGATTTGCTCTCGTCGTCTTCTCCAAAAACTATGCATCCTCCAAGTGGTGTTTGGATGAACTCGTGAAAATCGCGGAATGCAGGAAGACGATGGGGCAAACGGTGGTGCCAGTGTTCTATGATGTGGATCCTTCGGAAGTGCGGAAACAAACAGGGAGCTATGGATCAGCCTTTGAAATTCATGAGAAAGTTTTCAGTGGGAACATGGAGAGAGTACAGAGGTGGAAGACTGCTCTGGTGGAAGCTGCAAATATAAGCGGATATAGTGTTCCGGATACAGCAAACGGGTAATTAACACAAAATTCACATTTTGAATATATCGTGTTTTGGATGATTGAAAAATAAAAAATACAATTTTGAATATTTATTTTTTAAATGAGGTTCAGAAAGAGGCTTTTTGGATAACAATCTTTAATAATTATATCAGAACCTAAACAGCCTGTTCAAATTTGGGATTGTTCAGCCCTAGTTTAATTTTTAAATATGAAATCACTAATAATACCCTTATGAAATGAGCCCTAGTTTGAATTCCAAATAATACCAATAATACCTCTGATCATATTGTGAATAAAGTTAAGGTTTGGTATTATCAGTTTAAATTTATTATTGGCATTATTGATTTAATTTTGGGATTGTTCAGCCCTAGTTTGAATCTTGGAATTTTGGCTGTTAAAGAAGACCGGGAGGGGGAGGGGGAGGGGGAGGGGGGGAGGGGGAGAAAGTGTTTGTGGGTATTCTTCAAGTGGGTATTCTGATTACAAATATATGCAATACTATATGTATTGGGGCTTGTATATATGCAATACTATATAAATATTTACATATATACCATAAATTGCATTATATTTGGTTTTTATATAGAGACATATATGGTGTTTTTATTTTGAATAACGGTAAATACATAAATATTTCTTGGGCAACATTTGCGCTTGGGTTTGGGAGAGAGATGTAAAAATATACTTTACACATATTTCTTAGGCATCTTGGGCGCCAAAAGTGTAAGCTTTTTGGTGGTGCTTCCTACCAACCATAGTGTTGGCAGATTACTTGGCCCTGTTCATATTTGGGGGCTAGAGCGCTCCATCAGTTAGCTATTACGCACCCTTTCAAGGTGACTGTTTCTAGGCAATCCTTATAAGCCCAAGGCCCTCCCCATCCGTATCGAATGTGAGACAAGACCCTTGTGAAATGGTTAACAACCTCAATGTTAATTTGGCTTACACCAAACACCAAAGTTAATTAGAGAAGGGTAAATTACTCTGGCCTCCCTTGAGGTTTGGAATAATATTTCCTAGATGAAACTTTTGCAAAGTAACTCTTACTTCCCTTGTCATATTTTTAGGGGCAAATGTTGTTAACTTATTAATGTGATTGACATTTTTACCCTTAATAACTTAATAGTTCTTGAATAATAATTAAAAAAAGAGAGACAAGAATAGGGAAAAAAAACATTCAAATTCCCCAGACCCATCTTAATAGTTCTTTTTACAATGATTAATAGGGATAGTTGAGTCATTTCTGTTCATTAAAGGGCACTTTTGGTAATTTAAAAAAATTGTGATGTTGATTGTGATTTCATAAAAAGCTTGAGGGAGGTTGACTCAATATTTTCAAAACTTTCATCTGATGGTGATTACTCCAAACCTCAGGGGAGTTCAAAGTAATTTACCCTAAAAGGAAAGTAAAACCAGAAGGGGAAAAAATATCATAACATACAGCAAAAACTATAATTTATCTGTTTGTAGCTATTGTACTCATGCCTAGAATGATTTAATATATCTATAGTAAATTATTTTTTCTTCACATGTTCAAAACCCTCCTTTACAAATACTCTTTCTTCATGTCACTTGAACTCAATTGTCTGTCATTTAAAATCAATTTAAATTTGAATATCTAGATCAACATTTGGATAAACTTTTCAAATTTGTTTATTCTATCCAAAAGCATGCCATTCTGCCATAATTTTTTAAATTCCAAAATGGTATTTCAAACTCAACAGGTATATAAAATTTTCTTTTCAATTCTTTAATGAAAGAGGCTCAAAGTTTGGGCAAAATATGGTTGTCTTGGTTATTTTGCAACAAATGTGCTTTTCAAAATACTATTTTGGTTAAGAGGTAACGATTCAAAGAAGATAATCCTAAAAAGAAAGCATAAACGAGTATTTCACCTCACATCTTAGAAGAAATTTGAAATTTTTTGGGGCCATCTTTAGGAAATTTCCCGGTAATTATCTAGTGCATGTGTACTCAATGGTTGACTATGAGGTGCTATATGAGGGTTGACACCACCAGCGATGATAAAAATAAATAAATAAATTGAAAAGAGAAGAAGTTGGGACTGCTTTTAATAATGATACCCTAGAATCCCTAGTAAAACATCATGTCTCATATACCAAGGCAACTTGCCTAGAATGTCATACATATGTGTCAATATAATGTGTTGTTGTTTCAGATTCTCATTACAGTTCATTTATATTCCTATTCGGGAAGTTCCATAACAAATTAACCAACATTGCACTTGTTAATGTTTCTTCCTTTCATAATTATTAATTTCAAAGTTTTCAACTTACCAAATGGTCAAGATTCTAATCCTGCAGGCATGAGTCAAAATGTATCGTACAAATAGTTGATGAGATTTTCAATAAACTGAACCATACATCTCCACTTGTTGCCCAATATCTGGTTGGAACAGAGTCTCGTGTGGAGAAAATGGAATCATTGTTGTGTGAAGGGTTGGATGAGGTTCGTTTTATAGGAATATGGGGAATGGGGGGAATAGGAAAGACTACTATTGCCAAAGCTGTTTATGATCGGATCTATCATCAGTTTGAGGGTAGTTGCTTCCTCGCAAATGTTAGAGAAGTCTCAGAAAAACAAGGTCTAGAAGCTTTACAAAAACAACTCCTTTCTGAAATCCTTATTTTGGGCAATATAAATATAACCGATGCTGTTAGAGGAGCAAACATAATAATATCCAGACTACGTTATAAAAGGGTTCTTGTCGTTCTTGATGATGTGGATAAACGGGAGCAACTAGATGCAGTAGCTGGAGAGCATGGTTGGTTTGGAGTTGGGAGTAGAATCATCATAACGACGAGAAATAAACATTTGCTAACTGTTCATGGTGTGAATGAGAGTCACACGGTTGAGGCATTGAATGAAGATGAAGCTATCCAGCTCCTTTCTTGGAAAGCCTTCAAACAAAGTTTTCCTTCTGAAGGTTATTTGGAGCTCTCAAACCAGATGGTAGATTATGCTGGTGGCCTTCCATTAGCTCTTACAATTTTGGGTTCTTTTCTATATGGCAGGACAATGGAAGAATGGAAAAGCACATTGATTAAGCTGCACAAAATTCCTAATAAAGAAATTCTTCGAGTGCTTAAAATCAGTTTTGATGGATTGGATGAAATGGAGAAGGAAATTTTCCTTGATATTGCATGTTTCTTCAAAGGGAAGCACAAGTGTTACGTGACAAGAATACTCGACAGTTGTGGCTTCTGCCCAGGGATTGGAATACCTGTTCTTGTTGAAAAGTCCCTTATAACTATTACAAATGATCATTTTTGCATGCATGATTTGATACAAGAAATGGGTTGGTATATTGTTTGTCAAGAATCTCAAGAGTCTAGGAAACGTAGCAGGTTGTGGCTTCGAGAGGATGTTTGTTGTGTGTTGACGGAAAATACGGTAAGATAGCTTGTGAAAAATTAGTATTTTTACTTGGGACATTTTATTGAAAAAGCCACATTTTGTAATCCTAACAGACATTTTATATTTTTTCTTTTATTTCTGCTTTGTGCTATTGGTTGTTAGGGGAAAGAAAAAATTGAAGCCATAGTCTTGGAACTGTCTGAACCAGAAGTTGTTGACCTTAGTTCTGAAGCCTTCACAAAGATGAGGAAACTAAGGCTATTCAAAGTCCACAATGTGGTGTTCAGTAAAGGTCCTGCACATCTTCCAAATGAGTTGCGGTGGCTTGATTGGCACGCATACCCTTCAGGCTGTCTGCCACCAAGTTTTCAGGCACAGAATCTTGTTGAACTGAGCATGTGTTATAGCAGCATTAAACAACTTTGGAAAATAAATAAGGTATGATCAATATTTATATATTTTAGCTTTATTGAATATACTGTTGTGTTCATGAAAGCCAGTATTTTAATATTTTCCATTTGTTTCAACAGCCTCTGACCAAGTTGAAAGTCATGAACCTTAGTCACTCCCATAGACTATCTAGGACCCCAGACTTCACAGTTGTTCCAAATCTGGATACACTGATTCTTGAGGATTGTACGAGTTTGGTAGAGGTTCACCCTTCCATTGGAGTTCTCAAAAGGCTCGTTTTTCTAAGTATAAAAGACTGCAAAAATCTTAAGAGATTTTCTAATGGTATTCACTTGGAATCTCTTCAGACTTTTATTCTATCAGGCTGCTTGAAATTAGAAAATTGTCCAGAAATCTTGGGGGATATGGTATGTTTATCAGAACTTTATTTGGATAGAACTGCCATAAAAGAATTGCCCTCGTCAATTGAACATCTCACTAGCCTTACTTTGATGGATTTGAGTGAATGCAAATACCTTACGAGTCTTCCAAGAACCATTTGTAGGTTGAGTTGTCTGAAAACTCTCACTCTCTCTGGCTGCTCAAAACTTGAGGAATTGCCAGAGGACTTGGGAAATATAAAATCTTTAGAGGAGTTTCACGCAAGTAAAACTGCTATCAAACAACTACCATCATCCATTAATCATTTGGAAGGCCTCAAAGTCTTATCCCTCAGTGGATGCAAGGGAACAATATCTCAGTCATTTTTTTCATCTTGGTTTTTACCAAGGAAACGTGAAGATTCTATGTGTTTGGTGCTTCCTTCTTTAACGGGTTTGTATTCCTTAACAGAACTTGATCTTAGTGATTGCAATTTGTCTCAAGAAGGGATCCCCAGTGACCTTGGCAGCTTATCCTCTTTGAAAGAGTTGAATTTAAGCAGAAACAATTTTGTCAGTTTACCTGCAACCATCTCCCATCTTTCTCAACTTGAATCCCTTGAGTTAGTAGGCTGCAAGAGGCTAGAAGCATTACCAATGCTTCCATCATGTATTGCTACATTACTCGCAGATGATTGCCATTCATTAATAAGCATCGGAGATCTGTGTACAAAAAATAGATCACTGCAGAAGGTCACATTGACTAATTGCTTTAAGTTGTCTGAGAATAAATGGAGTGAAAATGTGGTTGAAATGTTGATGGGATATCTGTTTCAGGTTATTCTCTCCCTCTCTCTCTCTCTCTCTCTCTCTCTCTCTATATATATATATATATATATATATATATATATATATAAGCACATGTATATTTGAATTAATGAATCACGTGTTTTCTTGGTACAGAGGCTGTGTGTTGTAAATTCTTCTTTTAATATTCAGTTTCCCGGAAGAGAGATTCCAGAGTTGTTCTGCCATCAGAATTTGGGTACTTCAACAAATCTGCAGCTGCCTCCAGATTGGTGTAACAAGAGATGTATGGGGATTGCGGTGTGTGCTGTTTGTGACTTTGCAATTGTAAACTCACATATGTATATGGTTTTATGTTTGGTAGACCGTAATAATAAACGGTGTACTCTTGGGTCGGGTTACTTTTGGATTCCCACTGGTACGAACGTTGATTCCGAACACATCTTGCTTAGCTATCATCCAATTCATTTCCTTCGGAATGGGGGTCAGAATCCGAACAAATGGTGCCAACTTGAGGTTTACTTTAAACTTGAGAAAAAGAAGAAGTTGTCTGCTAAGAAGTTTGGATTCCATGTAGTGTGCGAGAAAGATGTGAAAAATTGGAAGGATGGATGTGGGAATTTGGGAATCAATGACGGGTCAGATAAAGCAGCAGCAGTGGAAGACAAAAATAATACTCTCAAGAGAAAGCGTGATGACTATGACCCCCAACACCATGACGACGCACAAGGCAATGCCAGTGCGTCGTCTAATGATGATAACGGCCCGCGCTCTAAGAGGGTGTAGCATGAATGCCTCGTCATCGACTCTTCCTCGTGACCAAATGCACGTCCTCTCTTGAATTCTCTCTCTTTCTAGTTTCTACTTTGTTTCTCTACTTTTTACTCTCTCTGCCTCGACTCTTCCTCTCTCTTCTCTCCAATTTTGGCTCTCTCTCTCTCTTTTCCATTTCGCAACTCTTTTGAACATACAAACCCTCTTAACCCTAGTCTTCTCATCCCATATATTATTTTCTTGTTTTTGATTCTTATTAGCCATTTGTATTCGTCTTATAGACCAATTGCTCTCTTTTATCTTGAGTTTTACCCTGTAATTTGTATTTGTTGAATGTTAGATTTTGTTAGTGTTAAATATATGAATTGTATTGAATTGAATGAATAATATGAGACTACAAAGGGGTTTATACAGGAGAGGACATGTGTGGAGATCAAGTAAATCCTATACATGGTAATGGTATATATGGTAATGAGAGTAGGTGAAGACAACTAATCCTAACCATAATATACAATAGGCAATATAATCTATGAGCCCCCCTCAACTCAAGGTGATTATGAAATCAACTTGAGTTTGGAAACAAGATTATAAAAGCGGTGGCGAAGTTGATTCGACACGTTGATGGGGCTTTGGGAAACGCATAATGACCACTGATGGCGCGTGGCGATGCGGCGACAAAGTTGTGACAATTTGACACATTGAGGCGCATGTGAGCAATGGTGCATGGTGGCGCAGTGACGGAGATGATCCGACATGTTGAGGTTCGGGATTATCGCTGTTGCGCTTGGAAGCGCATGGAAAAGAAGGATTACTACTTGAGGCGTATGGTGGTGCGGTGACGGAGCTAATTCGACACGTTGAGGTGCGGTATTACAACTATTGCGCGTGGAAGCGCATGGAAAAGTGGGATTACCACTTGAGGCGCATAGTGGCGAGGTGCCAGAGCTGATCCGACACGTTGAGCATCTCTAAACGAGGCATCTCGTTGGGTTTTCTTAAGGAAAATTTAAACAACGAAGCTTCCCTTTACGGGGTATCCCTAGGTGGGGCTTCTCTAAATGAGTCATCTCGTTGGTTTCTCGGAGGTATATTAAGACAACGAGGCTTCCTTGGATGGGGTATATGAAGATCTTGGCATGCGAAAGTGTGAGTTTGCCGGTTGATTGCCGTCGGGGATAAGGCTGATGGTGCCCCGACAGTGATGATAAATTGATAAACTCTTTAGCAGTTATCTCAAAGCTCTGATGCTATGTTAAATATATGAATTGTATTGTATTGAATGATATTACATAAGAGTCCTATATATAGGAGAAGGTTTGGGGGTAGGTGAGTGATGAACAAGTAACCTATAGATACTAATATGGTAGGTGTAATCATATATGGTAATTTATAGTATGCAAGAAACTATGTGGTAGGTAAATGGGTAAACTTGTAATCTAACAGCCCCTTTCAAAGTCAAGGTGAGTTATATGAAGCCATCTTGAGTTTGAAGACAAGATCCTTGAAAGCAGCCTAACAAAAATTTGATGGAGATGGATTTTCACCCATGATAAAGATGGAGGCACAATTAACAGCTGACATGGCACTACCGCTAGCATCACTGCTGACCATGTTTGACATGGCAGGTGACATGGCACTTCTGCTGGCACTGCTGTTAACTGTGTCTGACATGGCAACTGTCGTGGCAGGTGACGCACTACTGTTGGCATCACTGTTGATATGTCTTGGAGGCTTATTAGGTGGCCAAATAAGGCTTTTACTGATTATAGACTTGAGATTGAAGGTTGGGATGCGGAAGTATAAGTTTGAAGGTTGATTGTCGCCGGGATGGGGTGATGATGCCATCTTGGCAATGATTACGATAAACTGATAAATTGTTTACCAGTGATCATAAAGCTCTGATACCATGTTAAATATATGAATTGTATTCTATTGAATGAATTATATAAAAGTACAGGGTGATTTATATAGGAGAGGACATGTGTGAAGAGTAAGTGAACTCTATATATGGTAATGGTATATATGGTAATAAGTATGTGAAGACAACTAACCCTAACCCTAATATACAGTTAGAAATCTATATATGTCTGCTGAAGGAAAAACGTACAAGATTGATGGTATAAATTGAAGTTTTTTCCAATATGTTCTTTAAGCTTCTGTATGGTGTATTAATTTTGGGAGTTTTTCTCATGTGTTGATAAGATAACAAAAAGGAGGTAATGGCTTTTGGTTGAATAATTTTGAATTATAATGGCTTGGTTTCTAATGAAGATGAAGATTTAGAGTTTCTTCCACATCAGGTTAAATTTGTTGGATTTTAATACAGTAAACCACATGTAGAAAACAAGAATACTGCAATTAATCAAGGAGGAGGTTCAGGTTTGGGCATCGTACATGATTGATGGTTAAATTACATAATACCTTTAGATTTTGGAGAATTTCCTTAGAGTCCTTTGAAAGAATTTATTGCAAAATGTTAGTGTGCTTTACCGCCGTCTGAGTGTTGTCCTCTGATGGGGCTGAATAAGAGTTTTGAGTCCTTTATATATAATAACAACAGGGGGATGATTTCTCTATAAACAAACATACCTAGAAACTTAGATATCTATGGTTAGAATTAAATCTTACAAAATAAGCTAAAAAATCACAATCCAACAGTATGAAACCATCCTCCCAATAGACCACAAAATTAAAAAGTAAAACCCAATATATCAAGTATCGATAATCAAATTGCAATCATATTTTAGAAAATGTAATGAATAGGACCACAATTTTTTTTTTTTTTTTTTTTTTTTTTTTTTTTTTTTTTTTTTTTTTTAAATTCCAACAATCTCCCACTTGGTTCATGTACTCTAAGTTTTATAAAAATGACACAATGGATTGCAACGCAAGTGGAGTGGCCACTTATTTTGTTTTGAAAAATATAATTATCTAAATAGGTTGATTGATACTTTAGAACACTTTCATCCATAACTTTCCTTAATAATGGATCATGAATGCAATATATTAGTCTAAACAGTTCCATGGTCTCAAAAGTGATTTCACCTAGGATTTAAGAAAATATAGTGTGGTTTTTATTGCATTTCTTGATCTGTGCAAATTGCACGTGCACTAAATGTGCACCTCACTATCCGCCCTTCTTCATACCATCATGGTATGTCACCTAAACATATTACAGTAAATTGCCAACCTCATGTTCAGTGTAAGGGTTTACGGAAATGGAGCCAATCTCATATTTAGCCCAAGCTATTCTCATGGAGCGTGAATACTCCCACATGAAAACTTTAATAAGTATGTTTGAATTTACCAATGTGATGCCAATCTCACATCTAGCCCAAACAACCTCATAAGTGAAAATACCACTCCCAGACAACTTTTAATAGTTAGATTGGATTTACTAATGTACTAATCTCACATCTAGCCCAAATAGCCTTATAAGTGAAATAACATGGGCAAACATAATAGCACGTGCATAAATCATATATATCAAGATAATAATGATTATGATGCATCATAATATTACTTTGCATGCAAATAACTGTCACCATAAGGCATAAACTGAAGGAAGGTAACTTTCACCAGAAGGCATAAGTGAATTGTAAAGTAACTGCATCGTAGCATGATATAAAATAAATATCGAATATCATAACATAATGTCTCTCGAACATCTATCCGAATCATGTGCTTTTTAAATACTTTAAAATCTTCGGCTTAAGACATTTAATGAGAGGATGTAACATCATATTTTTCAATTCCATCTGGGGAACCTTAATAGCACCTTCTTTAACTTTCTCACACACGAAAAGGTATTTTATTTCTATGTGCTTATTATGCTTGGCCATTTTTAAATTTTTTTGTACTTTCTGAGAACTTCATTATCATGGAAAAATTATAATATCATATACCACATGAATGTCATTGCTAGCTAGCAAAATATCATTAACAAATAGAATAAAGATAATAAAACCACTCCCACTGAATTTGAGGTATATGCGTTAATCCACAACATTCTTTTTAAATCCATGACTAGTGATCACTTGATCAAACTTCAAGTGCCACAACCGTGAAACTTGCTTAAGCCCATAAATGAGCGACAATGGTAAGAATAACTCATAAAAAGTCCATTGATGAAATTAGAGAAAAATCTCAGACAAATCAACATGTGACCTTTGCTTAAGCCCTTAGCCATCAATTTTAGCCTTATCCATACACCTCAAAATCACTAACTACATCAGACCTTCAAGCTCTAGAAGATCTACTAAGATAAACGGACTTAGGAACTAGATTGGAAATTTTAAGATGAGGCTGCAAGAGACACTACAATGCTCTAGGCTCCCACTAGATTCACTACTTTTAAAAAAAATTTCAATACATATAACTTCACAACAGTCTCTATAGATCCAAAGAGACACTAAAATCTACAACCCCTTAATTTTTCAGGATACCAAAAATAATAAATGAGAGCGTGAGAATCAAACTCATTGATATCTCTATTATATAACTTTGCCTCTGCAAGGTATCCCCACACTTTCTCTTTTTAGCAACTTTATTCTGCTCAGGAGAACTAAGAGTGGTGTATTGTGGAATAATGCCCTGCTTCTTGAGTTATGTACTTAAAGTCTTATGATTCACACACTTGTTATTAATTCTCCCATAATATTCTCCACCTCGGTCCGATCTTAAAACCTTAATATTTTAAACTAGTTTTCAATTTTAGCCTGATAGATTTAAAACACATCAAGTGTTTCAGACTTCTGGAAGATTAAGTGCATATATGCATACCTTTGCCCACCTCGAGTTACAATAGGAAATTGAACACAAATGTCAGTATAAATAGGTCCAGAAGACCGCATACGTATTAGCCTCAAAATTGATTCTTTTTTTTTTTTTTTTTTTTTTGCATCTTTCCCTTGACACAACACATTAATCATAATCTAAAAAATTTAGTGGTCCAATAATTCCATACTTGACCAAGCATTCAAGCCTCTCGACATTCCCTAACTCCTATGCATAAGATAGATGAATTCTTTCTAACCTAAGCACGTGTTGATCTGGAAGGCATCAAGTCTATAAAAAAAATAAGAAGTAGGTATGATCACAGTTGAATCCATCCGCCATGTCAATACACATCCTTTTATCAAGTTGTGCTCAAATAATAATATGGCAATTTTATTTCTGTTTGCATTCAAACCTTTAACTGAGAGAATACTTTCTTACTTTTTTTGAATAAATTACAACATATAAATACAAAATTTTACATCTAAAAATAGCCTCGGACAATAGTACATACAATCTCCTAATTTTGACAAGAAAAATTCAACTAAACTAATATGAAAAAAATTCCTAGACAATCAATTTTACAACTGTACATTTGTAACAGCCTATACATATTGGAGATCTTCCGGAATCTGTCATT